TGGTATGAGCAGACAGAGTGATGGAGTGTAGACGGTATGAGCAGACAGTGATGGAGTGTAGAGTGGTGTGAGCAGATAGAGTGTGGAGTGGTGTGAGCACATGGAGTGTGGAGTGCTGTGAGCAGATGGATCAAGAAGTATAGAGTGGTGTGAGTGGATGGAGTGATGGAGTGTAGAGTGGTGCGAGTGCACAGAATGATGGTATGTAGAGTGTAGAGTGGTTTGAGCAGACGGAGTGCTGAAGTGTAGAGTGGTGTGAGCAGATGGAGTCAAGGAGTGTAGAGTGATGTGAGCAGATGGAGTGCTGAAGTGTAGAGCAGTGTGAGTAGATGGAGTGTAGAGTGGTGTGAGCAGATGGAGTCAAGGAGTGTAGAGTGGTATGAGTGGACGGAGTGTAGAGTGGTGTGAGCAGATGGAGTCAAGGAGTGTAGAGTGGTATGAGTGGATGGAGTGATGGAGTGTAGATGGTATGAGCAAACGGAGTAATGTAGTGATGGAGTGTAGAGTGGTGTGAGTGGACAGAATGATGGTATGTAGAGTGTAGAGTGGTGTGAGCAGATGGAGTGCTGAAGTGTAGAGTGGTGTGAGCAGATGGAGTGCTGAAGTGTAGAGTGGTGTGAGCAGATGGAGTGCTGAAGTGTAGAGCAGTGTGAGTAGATGGAGTGATGGTGTGTAGAGTGGTGTGAGCAGACAGTGCTGGAGTGTGGAGTGGTGTGAGCAGACGGAAGCCCGAGTGATGGAGTGTAAAGTGGTGTGAGTGGACAGAGTGCTGGGTGTGTAGAGTGGTGTGAGTGGACGGAGTGATGGTATGTAGAGTGTAGAGTGGTGTGAGTGGCTGGAGTGCTGGAGTGTAGTGTGGTGTGAGCAGATGAGAATGACAAGTGTGTAGAGTGATGAGAGTAGATTGTATGTAGAACAATGAGTAGATCGAAGCAATGCATGCTTTGTAAAAGTGAGCCAGTACTCTAAGGACACCTGATAGCAGAAGGCCATCTACAAACTAGGCAAACTGGCTGTTAATTTCATGGAAGGATCAGTCCCTTGTGAAAACAGTGCCCCTCAGATTTCACTGTGTGCTCTCTTCTGCACTGAAATACCAGTCCATTGACACACCTGCTGTGGAGAAGGTTTCAGAGAGGTGCCGTGATACTAGATCGCTTCACAAACCATCTGACTAAGTCATGGCCAACTCGGCTGGCTACATGGGGCATTTTGGGCCATGGCAGGGAGAAGTCCAAGCATTATTCCTGAGACACGAGGGCTACCTGGGGGCCATCGGCGCATTTCTGAAAGGAGCTGAGCAAGACAGTGAGTAGCATGCCCCCGTCATGTCCTGTGAGCAGCCTTGGCCTGTCGGGAAGTGAGCACAGAGACCCGGAAGCCCCTTCCTCTGTGTTGGGGCAGCAGAGATATGTAGAGGCATGGGTGAGGATGGGGGAGAAAGACCCAAAAATTAGTAAGGATGAATATTTTTAAGATAAGGGAGTGATTTGTCCTTTGCTCCACCTCCACTGTGCCCCTTTGGAGTTGGACTTGATCACAGTGAAGGGATGTGATAGCCCTTTGTGGTTGAGGGTGCCCCTGTAAAGAGCAGGCCTACCCAAGGTCTCAGCCCCTGCTCCCCATGTTGTCCATCAGTGACTTCTCGGCTCGGCTCACTCTTACCTGTTTCAGGGCTACCTGAGAGTCTCTTGAGCACTTCAGACCAGAGAGCTCAGGTTGTCTGTCCAGACCCTGACCAGTGCCTGCAGGGGTGCAGATGTATTTCTTTCTCAGACTGCACTATGGGCTGCCTGCTTGTTACCTAAGCAAGGTCTTATTTTCAGAAAGCATCAGCCATCTGTTTGGGACCCAGGTGTAACCTGACCTGAGGGGCTGCAGACATTCTCTGTCCCAGAGAGTGCAAGCCCTCTACCCAGGGCCTGGCTGGTACCTGCAGCCTGTCAGCCTTTCTGAGGATTCAGAACACCATGGAACCTAGGCCAGCTCAGCTTTAAAAACCGGATACTTCAATTCCTACTTGAAATAAGCCTGAGAATTCTCATGAGAAGCTCTAGAAGGTCCAAATCATTAGTTTATGAGGTTTCCTCTCCAACAGGAAAGTAAGAAAGAAAATCACAGAGCAGAACCACAGTCTAGGCAAGTTGGCATTCTGTCACTGGCCCAGCAGGGACCTGGGGACATTCCTTTCTCCTGGCAGGTGGCACGGGCCTCTGAGAGCAGTGTGTTCTGCCCAGCTGACACGGCGACTCCCTCTCTCTTTTCTAGATCCTAACCAGTACAGCTGGGGAGAGAACTACGCAGGGAGCTCTGGCCTGATGAGCTCGTCCCCTGACCTCTGCCCTGCACAACGGGCACGCAGTGGCACTGTGAGTATGGGCGGGGGCCCTGTGCCTTGGGGTCAGTGCCACAAAGCTGCCAGCTGGGCCTTTTCCACTGCAGCTGGGTTGATGGGCCTTCCCTAAGCCACAGATAAGGGGGCTTAACCAAACGGCAGAAGACACTGTGGCTTCATTTCCTCACCCTGTTTACAAACCCGCCTCTGGTTTGACAGGGACCTGGAGACCACCCAGGGCAAGCACAGGGCTGGGAGGGCTAGGGACCTCCCCTAGGCTATGTGTCAAGTTAACTAAACCAGTATGGAAACCAGGAGTCCCAGGAGGCAAACCCAGGGCTTCCCCTCAGCCAGTTCTCTGGATGACAGTTCCATGGCAGCGTCAAAGCTTTCACAACATCTGCCCTCCAAGGGAGGTTCTGGCTCACACCTGGCATCCCCACTTGGGGCGGTGCCCACTTGACTGGGTAGTACCCTGTCCTCACCCGCCTGTCGGGTGGAGTGGAGTGCTGAGTGGACACAGTGGTCTGCCACGGGTACAGCCACCCAGACAGCACAGCGCAGCTTGGAGTTGCCCGTCATGGCCCTTGGTAACCAGACACAGGCCGTTGCTCCACGGTTTCACCATAGCAGAAACCATCACTCCCATGGGCCATCCCAATCTCACAGCAACCACCCTGCTTTTGAAACTCCTGGAGCTCAGGGAAGGGGGCGGAGACCTTGCTCGAGGGGCTCTGGGTTTGGGAGACGGGACGGAGGGATGAGAAAGATTTGGAAACAGATCATACTTAATGGTTGACAGCACAGTGAACGTCATTAATGCTCCTGAATTGTCCACGTGGCCCAGGGTATTTCCTGTTGGGCTGTTAACCAGAAGGTTGGTGGTTTGAATCCACCCGGCACTCCACAAGAGCGAGATAAGGCAACCTGCTCCCCCGAACACAAGGCTACTTATTCCCTTAGAGTCCATGAGTCGGAATCATGCAAAGTGCTGCCATGAAAATGAAAAAAAAAAAAATTTTTCATCTTGTGGGGAGGGGGTAAAATTGCTGCTGTCATCTCTGCTCCTCTCTCTGTGCCAGTTTGACCTGCTGGAAATGGACCGGCTGGCGCGGCCGCTGGTGGCCCTGCCGCTCCTCCTGGACCCGTCTTCTTACGTCCCCGACACAGTGGACCTGACTGAGGACCCCCTGGCCCGCAAGTACTGGCTCAGCTGCTTTGAGGAGGCGCTTGATGGGGTAAGAACTCCAGGCTCCGAGGGACAGGACGATCCCACAGGAAGAGTGTGCTTGGAAAGAACGGGGGACACACCCACGGGCTGTCTTGGGACATGTGTTCTCATAGCTCTTCCCCAAGCACATCTCTGCTGTGAACAGTTTTCCACCACCATCCACGGTGGGTGTGAGTCACGGGGGCATGGCCAGAGTGGGTGGGTAAGCCCCCAGGGGAGGGCGAGGTGTAGACCAGTTCCCGTGCACCAGGGGCTGGCATATGCTTCTCTAGGAAGATGCGGCTGCAACAGCTGGGGGTCAGTAAGTCAGGGCGTGGTCCTAGTGCTCACACCTCCAAGAAGTACTCCAAGTAGTATTGCTGCTTTGACATTATGAGCAGCAAAAAGCTGAACAGGGAGTCTTCGCCACTCGAGTTATGTGGCCTGTCAGTTGCTGTCTGGACTGGTAGGCTCCCTGTCCTGTGGGAACATTTGGGCCAAGTGCTGAGCTCATGGCCACCCTGTGAGATAACTTGGAGCTTGCAGATCCAGGGTACTTGTCCTTTGCTAGAGCATGCAACAGGGCCTCCAGGGTCTCCTCGCTCTGCATCCATGGTGCTGGTCTTGCCTGGACCTCAGGCTCTCTCATGCTAGAAGGACTCTGGTCACAGCCACCACCATTCTTCCTTAGCTAGAAGCAGGGAGCCTGGGTCCTGAAATGTGAGTGGAGTCAGGGGTCAAGTTGTGGGTCTCGAGGTTAAGTCAGGTATCTCCCTCCTGGAATTGGAGGCCCAGAAGCCCAGGGGAGGCACCCTGTGGCTGGGCCAGGCAAGTGTGATCTTGCCCTGAGTGCAGGCCTGGTCTGCAGCATTTGCTCTGGGGACTGCTTTGCATACCCCACAGGCAGCATCAGCTGTGTCCAGACTGGCTGGCCTTCTGCCCAAAGCCCTTCTACATGCCCACACCTCGGCAGGGTCCCTGCCAGCTGGACAGATGCAGTGCTCCTGTCAGAAATAGAGCAGGCAAGGCCCTCTGCCAACTGCATGCTGTTGCCAGGTGGTCAAGCGTGCCATGGCCAGCCAGCCAGACTCCATCGATGCCGCCGAGAGGGCCGAGAAGTTCCGGCAGAAGTACTGGAACAAGCTTCAGACTCTGAGACACCAGCCGTTGTGAGTGTCTCTTTCTTTGTGGCTTCTGATGTTGGGAGGCCGGTCACCTCCCCTTGAGGCACCTGACGGGTGGCAGTGCATGTTGGTGTGCTGGATCCCCTGGTCGCTGTGACCTTTAATAACCACTGTCTGTGGGTGCCTACCCTTCTGGCCAAGGTTAAAAGCCAGGAAAACAGGCACCTCTGAGACCATGTCCCAGGTGGCCTCCTGGCTCGTGCACCCACACCTGCTGTTAAGTTTTGCCAGGGCTTCTCCTTGGTTGCCCGCAGCCACCATCCCGCCTCCCCAGCTGAGGTGCAGGGCAGTGAAGCACACAGGGCAGGTCACCCAGTTCCCAAGCTGCATGCAGCCACGCACCCTGGCTTTCCACTGCGTGCTGGAGCCCAGCCCGTTCATCTCCCCGACCATCCTCTCTCCACAGTGCCTATGGGACTCTGACTGTGCGCAGCTTGTTGGACACGAGGGAGCACTGTTTGAATGAGTTCAACTTCCCAGACCCCTATTCAAAAGTGAGTCTCTCCTGTGCCGTGGGTGAACAGATGTGTGACTGGGGGACTCCACTGTCCGGGCGAGGTCAGGGAGTCAGTGACTGCACTTGAGGGGTCAGCTTGCACCAGCAGCATGTGGGACAGCACCCATGGATGCGAGGTGGGCGGCAGTGGCCCTTCTACTGGAAGCACCTGCTGGGGAGCTGCAGGCTGGAGGTGGGTGAACCATCTCTGCGTATGACCTGGGGAACCATGGGCTCCTGGTGACTCGGCACCAAAGATGGCCAGTCAGCAAGTGCGTGAGGGAGGCAGGAATGTGCCGTGGAGCCTGGGGGCTGGAGTACTTAACTGAGCGCAGAAAGGGCAGCAGGAGAATGTAGAGTTTCTCTTCTCTTCCGATCTGAGAAGTGGCTGCTAGCAGGAGGGAGCGGGCATGTGGCATGGCTGCGTCCTCCTTTGCCTCCTTTTGACCTGGGGACACCAGACCCACCTCTTGGGCACTGAGGCAGAGCTGAGCTGTGACCATGCCCACAAAGAGACTGTGCCATAGGGTGTGCTCCTGTGACCCTGCCTGGCCCTGTACAGTGCCCGAGCTGCCATGAGGTCCCCTTTGTTCTCTCCTTCCCTGCCCACGGGTCACATCCTCACAGGCGGTACCCTCTGTGCATAGCTGCTAGTGTCCACATTGGCACAGTGGTGCACGTCCGGCTGCATCTGTGAGCTCCCATGTATCCAGCGAGGTCTCCCTCCCATGGAGCATGCTCGGGTGTCTTTACAACATCCATCCTTCCTTCACCCAGGAGCCTTCCTGAGCTGCACTGAGCAGCTGCTGTGAGGGCCTGATGGAGGTGGTCAGGGAGGGCAAGGTCACACCCATAACCTCGCTCGTATCTTCCTGCAGGTGAAGCAGAAGGAAAACGGAGTGGCACTGAAGTGCTTCCAGCGGGTCGTCCAGTCCCTGGACACGCTGGGCTGGGAGGAGAGGCAGCTGGCGCTGGTGGAAGGACTCTTGGCGGGGAATGTCTTTGACTGGGGCGCAAAGGCCGTCTCCGAGTGGGTATTTACCATGCCTGCTCACTGTGGTGTCCCGCCTTCTCTGTACTGTTCACGGCTACAGCCATGGTGTCAGCTTCTGTCACCATCTCCATCCCCTCCACCTACATGTGTGCCCGCAGATGCACACACACATACTTAAACACTGCTGCTGCCCTTGCTTGGCGGCCCCAGAAGAGTTCCCATTGCTTTGCAGAGCCTCGGGCCCTGGTGACCCAACTCTGCCTTGTCGGTAGAGAGGGGCCTTCTGGCACTTGGTGGACTGGGTGCTGCGTGGGGCTCTGACTGGACCTGGCCCTCAGCAAGGGGCAAGGCAGGACACTCCTGTGTGGTGGTGGGTGGGGGTCCTTGGTGCAGCTCTACAGAGCCTTGTCCCACCCTCTTCCAGAGAGAAATTCAAGGCTGGGTTTCTGTGGTGAAAGGCTAAATCCATACCTGGCACCTACACTGGGAATTAGGTGGGCGAACGGGTGCACACGGCCAGTCACTCGACAGTGCTGCATGTCGTGTACCTCTCCCATGAAGCGTGCCCTCCTGGAGCTCGCCTGTGATGTCTCCAAAACAAGGTCCTCGCTGGGGTGACTTTGGGTTTCCGTGGTGCCCACCTTAAACTGCTAAGACGGTTGTTATCCTTAATCCAGCTTAAGATACATTCTCTCTCTGGGCCTTTTAAGCTCTCTTTTTTTTTAATAATGAAGACAATTTTTTTAAAAATCATTTTAATGAGCATTTACAGAGATTTTGGATTTCCATTCATTGCCGCACTTCTCTCCCTGCCCAGCTCTCCCCCTCCCCCCCTTTAAGCTCTTTAAGGGTGCTCTGGTGGCCTAGTGGGTAAGGAGCTGGCTGCCAACCCAAAGATGGTTCAAGTCCCCCCAACTTCTCTGTGGGAGAGAGATGGGCAGTCTCCTCCTGTGTCATTTACAGCCGCTGAAAACCCCCTGCAGGCTCAGCTATGGGTCGGTTCCACCTCAACAGCATGTGTTTTTTATTTATTTATTCTTTTTATGTGTGTACCATCAGATGGATCTGACTGATACAGGAGGCGATTGTTCCTCCTTCTTCAGCAGAGCATCTGGTGGATTTGAACCGCACACCTCTGGGATGGCAGACCTCTGAGCCTTCCTTCAGCAACTGGAAGTAGTAATTTAAAACTGAAAAAATTTTTTTTTTTATTTTAAAACTGAAATTTGATTTCAGATAGTGAAATGATGTTTTTGAGGTTTCTGCACTTGGCAATGTAAACTTAAGTTTTAGATTTTTGTTGTTGTTTACTTTCTTTCTCCTGCTCCACACAGTGTTCTTGAATCAGACCCCCAGTTCGGATTTGAGGAGGCTAAGAGGAAGTTACAAGGTATGAGCGCCCACGTAACCAGTGTGGGTAACCAGCGTGGCTTAGCGGCGTCCACTGCTGCTTCTGGAAGAGCTTTCCTAGGATAGCAGAGGCTGGGCGGACGGGTCTTTCCTGGGTACAGCTTTACCCTTAGACACAGGAAGTAGAGAAATTCATGATTTCCATAACTGTGCCGAGCCTAGGGAAACTGGGATGACTGGATTAACTGGAAGCTGACTGAGTCCCAACTGGCTGATGTGGGCTGACTTGAGGTTGATGTGGGCCGACTCGGTGTCCATGGGGGCTGACTGGGGGCCGACTGGGAACTGATGAAGGCTGACTAGGGGCTGACACAGGCTGACTAGGGCCCAACATGGGTCGGCTGGGTGCCAACTGGGGGCTGATGGGGCCCGACTAGGGGCTGATGTGGGCCGCCCCCTGCGAACTTCTACAGGAGACAGAGGCTGAAGTGGGCCAACTAGAGGCTGATGTGATCCAGCTAAGGGCTGACATGGGCCTAACCCTAACCCTAACCCTGACTGCAGGCTCATGTGGGCTGAGTTGGGGGGCATGTGGACTGACTGGGGTCTCTGGATTCTTGGAAGCTGTCTGGGTAGTGTAGTTAGGGGCAGGCTAAGCTGCTGTAGGCTGACCTGGTGCCTGTGGGCTGAGAGGACGGACTATAAGTCTCTTCTCTTTCCAGAGCGGCCTTGGCTCGTGGATTCCTACAATGAGTGGCTCCAGAGGTTAAAGGTACGTGGAGATGCCTTCCATGCTCTGCCCCTGAGGGTTGGCAGTTGAATGAGAGTCCTGGGGATTGGGAGTCAGGCTAGTCAGAGCAGGGGCCAAGGAAATGGGGTGTGGGTCACCTTAGGGAGCAGAGAGGGGTCCTGGGCAGCAAGTCAGGGTCCTAGTAGGACCTAAAGGGCCTTTATCAAGTCCTGCCATTTCCTTGTGAGTCTAATCTAGAACCTTCTCAGCTCTGTACATGACCCTGTCGTGAGCACTTGTCAGGCCAGTTGGCCTCAGTACAAAGATCACCAGCCAGTGGGCAGCCTTGTCCCCAGTAGTGACTGCAGGCTTGGGCGCGGGTGTGTCTGGAACGCTTGGATTCACCTGTCCCCAACTGAACACCCTGGTTTTGTCTTGCAGGGGCCCCCTCATAAATGTGCCTTAATTTTCGCAGATAACAGTGGAGTAGACATCATTTTGGGAGTCTTCCCCTTTATCAGGGAGCTACTCTTTAGAGGGACCGAGGTGAGTGACGAGGCCGGGTGTGGGTTGCGGCCTGCGGGGTGTCTGGGCTCAGTGGGGATGGTGCCGCACGTGGGCTTGTCCTCACGCGGCAGGTAGGTGGTAGGTAAGAGTGCGGGGCGGGGGGCGGTCACACAAGAGCATCCACCAGGAGTGACCCCTAGGCTGTCATGTCACAGGAGCCTGGGAGGTGATACTCCAGTCCTCTGTAGCCAGAGAGATACTCTTGGGGCCAGGTCTCCATGTTGACTGTGTGATGAGATTGGGGGATCCCCACAACAGGTTCTAAGTACCTCTGGAGGCCACAGAGTGGTCAGGGGTTCGGCCCCAGAAGGACAGCACTTGATTAAGTGGGTTCGGCTAGTCACCTTGTTAAAATGCAAAGCCCCCGGGGAGCACTGGGCGTTGAGCCTGCAGAGGCCCTAAGTGCCTCGGGCCCTCCCTGCTGCAGGTCATCCTGGCGTGCAACTCAGGGCCTGCCCTGAACGACGTGACCCATAGTGAGTCCCTCATTGTGGCTGAGAGGATAGCTGCCATGGACCCCATTATCCAGTGAGTGCAGGGGTGTGTGTGTTTGTGTGCGCCTGTGGCCCTGCTGAAGGTGGTGAGATCCTGGGGGCAGAGGAGTTGGAGAGGACAGACACTTCTAAAATGGGCATAAGGAGCCAGGCTGCTACTTGGAAAATGTGGAAGGAGTGGGCGGTGCCAGGTGGAGGGAGCTTCCCCAGGTGGAAGGGCTCCCCGGGGTGGGTGGTGTCCCTGGGGTAGGCGGGGCACCCCGAGGCTCTGCCCTCAAGGTGCTGACTGTCTTGTGCTCTGGCAGCTCTGCGCTGGAAGAAGACAGGCTGCTGCTGGTACAGACTGGCTCCAGCTCCCCCTGCCTCGACCTCAGGTAACCCAGTAGGCAGGCGGCACCCTCGCCCTCCGAGGGTCCCTCTTAACATATAGCCTAAGGGTCAAACAGGCAGCACCTGCCTCACGGCAGCCCCCTGGCCTCCCCTACTTCTGTGAGGGTCTGTGGAGAGTAGGCAGTGTGGGTGGGGTTTGCCTTGGAAGGAGGAACACAGGCACCTGCGAGACTCAGGCCCCCACCTGCCTCTTGGCCGCCTTTGGGTGGAATGAGCAACTCCACCTCCTGAGGGTCAGGGGACTCTCAGCGCTTGAGCACCTGCTGGTCCTCGAGAGAAAAGCTGGCGAGTGCTGACCCCGCACAGGGATAGTCTGGTGTGGGGCACGTGGTCACCCAGTCTGTTTTCATAGAGGTTCTCCAGTGTTTACTTATCCCTTCTCTGATGTTTACCTGCCCACTGCTAGCCAGTGAGAGACCATGTTGGGAAAGGCAGAGGCTTAGAGGAGGACCCTTAACAGCATGGATTGACACAGTGCCTGTTAGCAGTGGGCTTGGGCTTTTCACAGATGTGAGCATGGCACAGGCTCAGGCAGAGTTCTCATCAGTTGTTCCAAGGGTTGTTATGAGTTGTCATCAACTCAGTGGCATCTAACAGCCAGTGAGGAGGGAGGCAAAACATCTATGAAAACGGATGGATGGATGGATAGATAGATAGATAGATAGATAGATAGATAGATAGATAGATCTTTTAAGGTTAAAAAACAAAGGAGATTATAGCAAAGGGTTCAGCATTGAGCCAGTGGCCAACATGCTGGAACCAGTGGTTCACCACCAGAGAGATGGCCCAGGGCCCCCGAAGCCTCCTGAGAAGGGTCTGCATTCAGTGTCATGACGGCGTTGTTGTGTGGGCTTTTTTGACAACTCGGCTGTCACCGTTGAGTAAGGCAGGGTGTGGTGTGCTTTTCCCCTGCCTCACACACTCTTGTCCTTCCCCAAAGCCGCCTGGACAAGGGGCTGGCCACCCTGGTGCGTGAGCGGGGCGCCGACCTGGTGGTCATCGAAGGCATGGGCCGGGCCGTGCACACCAACTACCACGCCGCGCTGCGCTGCGAGAGCCTCAAGCTGGCCGTCATCAAGAACTCGTGGCTGGCTGATCGCCTCGGCGGCCGGCTCTTCAGCGTCATCTTCAAGTACGAGGTGCCAGCTGAGTGAGGGCCATGCCTGCCACGCCGACTGGCGTCGTCGACCTCCTCATCCCTGTAGAGAATGTATTTTTATGGCCACTGGGGAAATTGTGCCAGTCACAGCCTGAGTTCAGTTGTGCTGCGGTGACGTGGTGCCGAGCAAGCCAGTGGCCACAGCCAGCAGGTCTGCACCACGTCATGGTGGCACTCGTGTGACGCGTGTTTCCTTTGATGCTGTGTGTTTGTGACGGGAGACACACCTGCTGTCCTGTGAGACACTCGTGTTGGAGTATATTTAACTGTTAAATAATCTTTTATATATATATATATATAAATATATACATATATATCTTTGACAGAGGACGCCAGTGCTCTCAGGCACACACCAAATAGAGTTTTTGAGAGTGGACCCAGGCATCCTGTGTCTGCTGTGTTTTTGGGATATGTGTCCAGGCAAGGGTAGCCTGCAGTGGGAACTGAAGTTACTTTTCCACCTCTCTCAGCCCCCAAACATTCCTGTCCCCTCTTGTGGCATCCGCCTTGTGGCCCCTCTGCAGTGATGTCCCCATGGCCAGCCGTGGCTACTGTCACCTAATTCTCCACACCCCTTGGCCCGACCTTGGAGGTTCAGGGGGCCGCCATGGGCAGTGTATCCAGCTGAGTGTGCACCTCGTGTTCATCCCCGACTGGCCCCTCTTCTACATGGTAGGGACCCACGAAGACCTGTGCACACACTTGGGCTCGAGAGCTGCTGAGAGGAGGTGTTGACGGTTCTCAAGGGCTCTTCAGTGGAGGCCGCAGCTGCGGGCGCCAAGCTGAGAACACTGTAGATTTCTCCTCATCTGCTTCTGGACTCTGGCAGGTAGAGTCCTCCTCCTGGACTGACGGCAGGTCACAAGGGACAGGAAACCTGCCACCATGAGAACAGAGCCTTGCATGAGGCTGGAGGCAAACAGGTGGGCCCATTTTCCAGAGAGGGAGTGAGCACAGACCTGGATCCCTTGCTCTCAGGTCGCAAAAGGGCTGGGCCTGCCTGGCAGGAATTCACACTCAGGCTCTTGGGTCTGCAGAGGGGTCCGTGCAAGCCCTTACTGCCCTGAGCTGCTGGGTGGGGTCTGTACAGGGGCCAAGCCAGTGCAGCTCCTCCAAGGCCCACATGGATGCTAACAGACCCCAGTGCTGCTCCTGCTCTGCTTATCCAGTCGGGAACCTCTCCAATAAACCCCCCATTCCCAGGGCCCCTCTGACAACCTTTGCATATATCTGGACCTAGTACAGCACCCTCCACGACAGGAGACATCCCCAATCCATTGCTGGCTACATGATGTTGCCCTATGAGTCAAGGGCTAGGGCTGGGCTCCCAGCTTGACTGTTCCTGTACCTTCCACTCCAGCTCCCCTGAGTGAGGTCCGGGTCTGCCCCTCCCACCATGGCTGGCCAGTGGATGGCACTGCATGGAGCTCTTGCACCCTCATGCTTGGCTGGCTGAGGGGGTTGGAGCCCTGACCAGCTTGTAGCGTTAACTGGAGAGCAAAGGCTACCACTAGGTGGCAGCAGGAGCTGACCAGGCCCGCCTTCCTGACCCACCCAGAGCTGCAGCAGCGGCTCCCAGGCCAGGCTAGCCTGCCTTGTGCTGGTGGATGGTTTCATTCCTCCAGGGCCCTGGGTATCTTAGAGACTTCTGCCTGCTCCCCAGCCCTCAGCATGGTACCCCAATTAGTCAGCCCCAGGCTCCTTGCCCTCTGCAGTCCTTTGGTGCCAATGCCCTGTGGACGATGAAGTGTCCCACTGGCTGTGCAGCACAGAGGGGACCCTACCATGGGGAGTAGGGGCCTCTCGCTGTCTGCTCCCCAATGGAAAATCTCCTAACACACCTGTGCTCAGGAACCTTCTGGGGGAGCTGGGCTGCTGAGTCGGTACCCCGTGTGCCCTTGCCCAGGCTGCCCCAGGCCACCACCCTCCCAATGGCCATCCTGTTTCTCAACCTCAGCCAGGGAAGAACACTTTATAAAGTGTGATCAAGGGAGTAGGACAGCAGTGCACCCTGCTTCCTGCAGCCCCACCTGGGGGTGCTCTGGGTCAGGTTGGCTCTTTGAGGAGTGAGGGGATTACATGGGCCTCCAGCTCCTCCCCTCCCTGGGAACCAGCATTGTGAGCAGGGGGACATGCCCGCAACACCTGGGAAGTAACCCTGCCAAGCAAGAATGCGTTTATTGGAGTCATGTTCTGGTTTACAAGGAGTTTTTAAAATGTCCCAATATGAAGGATGGGGGTGAGAACAGGCCAGATGTGAAGTTGGAAGGGGTGAGGGCAGTGTCTGAGCAGCTCTGGGCATGAAGTACCCACACTCTGGGGGGACAGACTATAGGGGCACCATGCTCCAACACAGCACGCTGCCATCTGCAGGTGAAAACCCAGGTTAAAAAAATGGAAAAGGACTTCAGAGTAACGCCTGTGTTATTTGTCTCTAAAAAGTTAAATACCTCTCTGTATAGACCTTAAAACGTAATGACATCACCCTGGGGCAGACAAGCCCCAGTCCCTTCTCCCCAGCCCCAGCAGTGAAGGGCACAGGGAGGTGACCAGGGCAGGAGGGTACAGCCCCGGCTAGCACAGCCACGCAGGTAGAGCCAGCCGCTGGTGCGTTCGGCAGATAGGCCAGCTCTGGGGACCTGTGGCAGAGGCCCCATTTCCTGAGCAAACGCAAAGGCCCCCTGCTTGGGCCTGGAGAACGCAGCAGAGCGAGGCAATAGTCAGAGTCTGAGTAAGAGGGGGCTAGTGCTGGCCCCACACACCTGACCAGGGGCCCCCTTTGGGGGGCCTGGTGCGTCCACACAGCTCTCCTGACCCACAGAGCAGGCACCTTCTGGGGTGCCACGCTCCTCGGGGGGCCCCGGTGCACCCAGGCCCTGCAGCCGCTGCTGCCGCTCCTGGGCCTGGCGGGCCCGGCTGGCGATGGCCCGCACGCGGCTCTGGCTTCGGGAGGAGGAGCGCCGCAGGAAGCCGGGCGGCCCCACTGTCGCACCCTCCCCAGCCGGGCCCAGGCTGGTGGGAGAGGTGATATCCCCAGCCTGCTGGAAGCCAGTGAGCCATCGCAGCTGCTCGGTCAGGGCGTCTGGCCGTGGGTCACCTGGGGGCCCCAGGCCTCGGCCTGGGTTGCGGGGCCTGCTCTCAAAGCTGGGAGCAAAGTCATCAGCAGTCAGATCTCCCAGACTCTTGGACTTGGCAGCCACAGGGCAGTCCTGGAGGCCCACCAGGGAGAGGCGACTCCAGGGGGGTCGGGGCCGGGGGCCAGGCAGGGATCCATGTGGCCGAGGGGCCAAGGGTCTGGGCCGCAGCTCATCGGGTGCAGAAGGCAGCTGGCCAGTGACCCGCAGGTTGGGGTTGGACTTGCTCTTGGTCACCAGGGGTAGACCTGGGCAGGTGGGGCAGGGCCTTGGGGGCAGGCGACCAGATGCGGCCCCAGCCAGGCTCTCCCGGCTGCGGCCCAGGCCCAGGCTGGGCAGGGAGAGGTCAATGACAGTATCGCTGGAGGACATGCTGGAGGATGAGGACACACTGTCACGGTGGCTGCCGGGTTCCAGGCGCTGCCACAACCGGTCACTGCTTGTGGCATCTGAGTACACGGCGGGGGTGGGGGAAGGCCCAGCAAGGGGCCGCCTCCCACTCAGCACCTCTGTGGGCGCCTGCACCTCACTCCTGGCCTTTCTCACCATGGGCAGCTGGCCTGGTGCTCGGGGCAGGCCCCTGCAGCCCATCTGACTGTCAGCAGGCCCCTCAGATGTCCCCCAAGGGTCCCCACTGTGGCATGCCCACCACCTGCTGTCAGGGCGTGCCTCAGTGTCCCTGTGGCCCCCAGTCCTGAGCTGAGGGGGCCCAGAAGCTCCCAGGACCACCTCTTGGGAGCCTGCCCCAGCACTGGTGCCAAGTCCTTTGGAGCACTGGGGGCCTTCCAGACAGGAGCTGGTGGGGGTGGCCAGTGGCAGTGGAGGGCCAGGGGTCGGCTCCTCGGCGATGGTCTCCAGGCCACACAGGGAGGAGACTGACCTCTGCATGGACGGGGGGCGAGCATCTGGGGGGGAGAGAGGGTGAGGGGTGTCAGTGGGTGTCCCTGGCCCCTGCCAAGGGATAATGGGGTCCTCAACAGCCAGACCCTCCACCTGCACACATGGCTCCCTCCCCCTTCAGCCACCCTCTGGAGCTGGGGAGGCACATGGCCCGCAGGACCACTTCCCAGCCCTGACCCTTGGGTCTTCAGGGCAGGGCACGCACAGGGCACACAGGGCAGCCGGCCTGTTACCTGGCGCTCGGCCGCCGTCAGTTCCTAACTAACGAGGCAGCACGGGGTGGGGACAGAAAGGAGAAGATCATCAGAGGAGGAAGGGGGCAGGTGGCTGACAGATGAACAGACTGACAGCGAGGCTAGGCAAGTGCAGGGCAGGGAGCTCAGAGGAAAGGAAGGCGACGCTTCCCTGGCCCCTAGGCTGGCTCTCAGAGCCTGTGACCGTGATCATGACCGTGACGCTTCTGTGAGCCAGCCACATTTGGTACAGCTGCAGGTGTCAGGCTCAAGCCACATAGAATCCCTCAGCACCCTGGGCACCTCTGGAGAACGGCAAGCCTCGAGTGGGGGCTCAGAACTAGCCTGTAACAAGTTCAGACCTGGGGAGTATCTGTGAGCAGCTGGGGTGAGGGCAGGAGCCTTGCCTTCCAGGGGCTGGAGATTCAAAAGGGGACGAGGTGGGAGCCCACCAAGGTCCAGGAAAGGTGTCAGGAGTATCTGAGCCCTGGTTTTCTATGGGCCCCTAGGATGCGGGCCCGACCACGAGGGCTAGGTATGCACTGGGCCACATGTGGCCTCAGCAAACACTGCTCCCTGGCCCTCACCTACGTGCACTCTGGCAGGATCCAGGCCACCCCGCTCCCTCAGGCTCCAGGAGGAGCAGGCCCCGTGGTTAGAACAGGAGGGTCGGGAGGGAGGACCAGGGCTGAGGGGGCAGGTGGGATAAGCTGATGGAGCACAGCGGAACGAAAGCAATGGCACGCCTAGGATCGGGGTCAGGCAGCAGCAGGGACAGAGCCAGGCCATGCCGACAGGGGGGACACGGGGGCCCAGGCAGGGCCAGCCTTACCGGCTGAGAACATGGGGGATTTACTCCTAATCTCCTCCAGCTTTTGAACGAACAGGGCATTCAGCTCCCGCTGCAGGGCCCCTGGTGGCCTGCGGGTGCCCTCACGCCAGTGGGGGGCCTCCTCGGGGCTGCCACGGCTATCCGGGCTGCTGGAGTCTGAGCTCACGGAGCCACCACCACCCGGTCGCTGCTGCCGGGTCCCACGCCCCTCAGAGGCCTCTCTGCTTCTTCCAGGTACAGCTTGGCGGGGGCCCAGGCTGCCGTGGGGAGCCCCCAGTGCATCTGCCCGGGCCTGGGGCTGCTGGCTGATGGCCGAGTGGGCACCCACAGGCCCTGGGCTGGGTGGCCGCTCCCGGAGCAAGCCCTCAGCATCCACACCAGCACAGGAGGCCACCATGCACTTCATGCAGGTGGCGGCCATGCCCGCAGGCCCAGGGCCCTCGGGGACACAAGAGGGTGGCACTGGGCCTGGGCTCCTCGCTGCTGCGGCTGCTGCAGGTGCCAGCACCTTACCTTGGGGGCTGATGCTGTTGGGCCCCTCGTGGGGCAGGGCCCCTGGGGCAGGGCTGGGGCTGGGCGGCGCCACGTCGTCCGCAGCCCCCTCAGAGCCCGCGTCCTGCGTGCCAACGACCAGCTCCGGGAAGCCCTTGCGGCCCGGCTTGTGGCTCTTGGTGGGGGCGCTGGCCGTGCGCCGCAGAAGCCGCTGGCTAACGGAGGGCCGGGGTGGTGGTCGCCCAGCAGCATGACTGTCCAGTGAGCCGGGCTTTGGGCCGCGGAGGAACAGGCCTTTTAGGCCCAGAGCCTGTTTGACCTGCAAGAGAAAGGCCTTGGCATTGGAGGCTGCCAGGGAATGCCCACCCACGGCACTGCCAGGTGTGGGCAGGAGGGGCCATGGACAACCCTGGACAGCAACCACCTGGTGTGCAGCAGACAGGATCGAGGGGGGGTGGGAGGGAGCTGAGATCTGGGACCTGAGACCTAACACCCACAACATCCTGCACCCCCAGCTATGCCAAGGGTGCTGGTGTGGAGAGAAAAATGTTAGAGTAAGGACCCCGTGTGCCACCTTATTAGTCTGGCTCCCCCCTCAGGTGCCCACAGGTGGGGCAGAGGCAGAGGGGTGGGGCTGTGCTTGGAGGGACACTCCAGCCCACAGATAACTTGGTGACCCCTGAACCACGACAGGAGCTTGCGAACCCCACCTTGCACCCAGGGCTCACACTCACACCTCCCAGTGTCCACACGGACCTCTTTGACAGCTGGCCTGGTGGGCTCAGTCACTGTCAGAGCGCTTGGTGGCCATGGCCCAAGTGTGCACAGGCTAGGGGACCCTTGCATGCCAGATGTCCCCCACACCCAGAACGTCTGCTGTCCCAGACCCTGCCCCCCGCCCTCTGATGACCCAGGGCTCGTGCACAGAGCAGCCCTGCGGCCTGAGGGGTGGTCACGCCCAGCAGCACCTCAACGCAGAGGTGTTCAGGTGGCAGCACTTGAATCAGAGTGCCGATTCAAGGTTCCAAGACCAGTGCAACTTGGTCAGAGTCGGCCAACGTCATTTAGAAGAAGATCCAGAATTCAGGCTTAGAGCTCCCAGTCCCAGGACCTTCCCACCCAGACGCAGGGAGAGGAGGTGGGGGTGGAGTGGGGGGAGGACAGCTATGAAATGACAGTGTCTTGTTGGGAGAGGAGCACACAGTGGGCAGTATAGAGTTTGGGGAGGGGCACAGACAAGAAGTGGGCATGAAAGGAGGCTGAGGGAACAGAGATGGGACAGAGAAGAAGGGGATGAAGTGGTTGGGGGCACAGGGTGAGATGGCACAGGGCAGGACATAATTAGGAAGGAGCTTCAGGGGCAGAAAGGGAAAACAGACAAGGGAAGAGGAGGCAGGGAGAGGGCTCCCAGAGAGGGAGAGAGGGAGGTTTGAGGAGGAGGACTGTACAGGGGTGAGGGCTTACAGAAAAAGCAGGGAGTGGGGCAGGGGAGGATTTGCAGAGGAGGAGAGTTTGCAGAGGGGAGGGCACAGAGGAGAGGGAAGCGGCCAGAGCAGAGCTGTCAGTGGGCATGGGAGGTGGGAGGGTGGCGGGGAGGACAGAAGAACACCCCAGGGCCCTGCCAAAGTCCTGGGTCTGCTTTATAAATGCTGCTCTGGCTGAAGATGGCCCCGCGGAACCCAGGAGCCACGGCATCACCCATGTCAAACGAGCGAATAGTTTTCCAAAATGCTACCGAGTGGCAGATGCTAATGAGGGGCTGAGTCTGAGCATGCGGGAGGGGGGGTGGCACCGTCCTCGCGGGGTACCTTGGAGGCTCCTAACAGGGCTGCGCTTCTAAAGTTGGACTTTGCACATAGAGACCCACTGCAAGACCAAAGAGACAGAGCAGAGGCAAGGTGAGGTGCAGCGCGGCCGGCAGGACCCAGCGCCGGAGGGCAGGCAGACACAGCGGACGGACGCACGGACGCACGGACGGACAGACGGTGAGCCAGGGCTCCGGCTAGCACCTCTGGCCCCATGGAGCAGCAGGAGAGAAGGTCAGTGCTGGGACCTGGAGTGGCCGCTGTGCCCGGCAGCCCCAGGGGCTGGGCCTGAGTTGGGAGCCCCCACCCCACCCTCGACCCCACCCTGGGGCAGCTGCACCAGCCCTCAGCCAGTGAGGGCCACAGAGGGAGGCTCCCCGCAGAGTAGGAGGGCTGCCCCAGGCAGGAAGGGCAAGGGGAGAAGAAGGAAGTCTCATGGGAAGAAGCTGGCCATGGCACCCCAGGAAGACATGCCACCCCAAATGGAGGGGCAGGAGGACCCGAGGGGAGCTACCCACAGGGAGGACAGGATGGGAGCTAGTGGTGAGGACCCAGGGTCCCACAGTGCAGTCTCGGAGGGCCACGCCAGCAGGTTTGGGGCCAGGCATCTTCCTGCTGCCCTTCTCAAAGGCTGAGAAAGGATCCCCAAGGGTTCACTTCCCACTGAGTCGGGGGCTGGTGCTGGGGCATCAGCGAACAACGTGAGGCTGAGGCTGGTGCTGCCCTTCCCGATGACCGAAGGTGGTTTGGCAGATGGCACTCACCTTACCACTGACGTCACTGATGGCCACATGGACAAAGATGGAGGCCTGCTCCATGCCCTCCAGGTACACGTGCCGATAGCCTGCAAGAGCAGTCACCGGCTCCCACCTGGCCCTGCCTGCCCACACCCTCCACTTACAGGAACCTAAGGACACCTACAAGGCCAGTCTCGCCCTTAGTTCTACCTCCTCCAGGAAGCCTGCCAGAGTTGCTTTAGCCTCAGAAACAAAATGCTAGTCTGCCCCACACGGGCCAAGCCACCAGGGTCTTCCTTACTCTCCTCCCCAGACTCCCTGAGCATCCCTTTGGCCTGACCAGACCCTACCCACCTGGCATCATACTGCTGAAGGCCAGTGTCCTCTGGCCGATGAAGTCCCGCCCAATGGGGTCATGGTCCCACACGAGGAATCGGACCAGGGCCATCTCCGGCATGTGCACCAGGAACACCAGGGTCTCCTCCCACATGGGGTTGAATCCTGGAGGCCACCAGAGGGATGTCACCTTCCCCTTTCCAAGTCTGGCCAGCATGGCTGTGGCCGTCACAGTGCCAACCTCTAGCTTGGCTGGCAGGGCCACTGAGGAGCTGGGGCTGTCACTGCTACTTGCATCCAGGGGGCGGTGTCTGGTTGCCAGGGACATTGTCCTTGAGTGGGGGAAGGTGACCAGGATCTGGGGTGGGGTGCCTGAGGCTCAGGTACATGGCAGCCTCCCTTCCTCCCCCCGAAACCTGCCAGTATCACACCGTTGTCGTCCACCACGCGGGTCTGCTCCTTGTTACAGTCCACGGGGAGTCCAATAAGCTCCACCTCCACGAAGGGGTCGATGATCTGGGGGCCCCAGAGGTACAGGTGACATCCTGGGCTCAGGTGCCAGCCAGGATCCTGCCCCTTAGCCAATACCTGCTCAGCTACAGGACCCAGCTTAACTCTGCTACCCGAGCAGCCACCCCTACCTCCCTTTGCCCCCCACCATCCCATGGATCCCCAGTATTGAGTCCTACATGGGTCCCCTATGTCCTCCTGGTCCCATCTGACCTCACACTGCCCTAAGTCCCTAAAGTCCCATTGAGTTCCATAACCCCTACCTTCCCTCCCCATGACCCCTACCTTCCCTCCCCATGACCCCTACATCTCCATCCCCATGACCCCTACCTTCCCTCCCCATGACCCCT